AAAAAAAAAAAAAAAAATTACCTTGTTGGAGAAGAATCCTTTGCCGAGGCCGTAGAATTTTTTCGACATTTTTTTGGATTTTTTTTGATGCTCGAATCGTTCGTTGAAGTTCGGAAGTTTAGAGAGATAGAAAGTTTAGAGAGATGAAATCAAAAAAAGGGTTAAGGGCAAAAGAGTAATTGGGGGGGGGGGGCGGTGACTAGTAAAAGGGGGCGGTGAATAGCGATTGAGATGTAAAAGGAGATGCAAAAATTTAAAAATGATTTATATGATTCAATTTATCAACTATTAGAGAAGCACATTCTAAAATTTTGTGGTAGATTAACGAATAAAATCAATTATTAAGAATAAATTATAATACACTTGCTCTACCTATTTATTTGTTGAACAAAACTATTCTCTCCAATCACTAACTCAATCAATTTTATTTAAAATTAATTTAATTAACTCAAAATTCGATCAAATCAGTTTTGTTTTATATTCAATCGCCCGGTAACTACCTGGCCATGAATTGAATGATCTACATCAGTGCAATAAGTATGCAATGCAGTATGATGTTTGCCTAATCTTTTGGGCTTTAATATTTGTTTCCTTAAATTATTATAATTCATTGAGCTATATAAGTCATTGAATTTTAAACAATACTCAAGTATACTTCCATATTTACGTTGTAAAATGATACTAGTTTTTTTTATAGAGAAAAGACAATCTCCTTATTGTTGAGAGACAGATGCACCCATATTTCTTCCATATGGATAAAGTTGTCACTGTGAAGGCAGTAAGAAGAAAAGCCCCACACGAAACTAGTCTACAGATCCAAACAAAGCTGTGTATATACATATCCTCAAAACTCAAGATTGCATTTGCACAGCAAAAACAAATTACCCCTCGCGCCAAATAATTACTCCACCTGATCACCTAAAAAATTCCACAAAAAATTCCCAAGATGTTGGATGTGGCCGAGTACTCATCCGCTTCAGAGTGTTGTTTTGCGGACAAGTGGAGAAGAAAACAGAGCAAGAACAAGAGAAGGTTTAGCGACGAACAAATACGGTCCCTAGAGGTGACCTTCGAGTCAGAGACAAAGCTCGAGCCCAGAAAGAAGGCCCAGCTGGCGAAGGAGTTGGGCCTGCAGCCCAGACAGGTGGCCATATGGTTCCAGAACAAAAGGGCCCGCTGGAAGTCAAAGCAGATCGAGAAAGAGTACGGCGTTTTGTTGTCTAGTTACAACAATTTAGCTTCCCAGTTGGAGTGCTTGAAGAAAGAAAACCAGTCCTTGCTTGTGCAGGTATTTTTGTTGAATAATAATTTCCCAGTTACATCTTTGTATTGAGAAATACTGATATTCTGGTTGAACAATAATTACTCTGCTTCAACAGTTGCAGAATCTCAAGAATGAAATGGAAAAATTGGAAGATGAAAATCTTTGTGAAACTCAAGGAACTGCGGGGAACAGCAGCAGCAGCAACAACAGCAATCGAGAATCAAACGAATTCAAAGACAATAATAATAATAATAATAATAATAATAATAGCAAACGGCTCATTGGCATGCTTTCGGACGAGCTGTTGAAGATGGTAGAGAGTCCATTGACATCTTCTGATGGTTGGGGAACAAGCATTGATTCGGATGATCACAGTTATGATCATCCGTGGTGGGATTTCTGGTGTTGATTATCGAGTAGAAATCGTTAAGCTTCCATGTATTGGTGTATATCTCATCATATCATTTTCATGGGGTTCAAGCGATTGATTAAAAGAGTCACGATGTGGAGTTCAATCGCTACTTCTCCCTTGTCCAATTTCTGTACTACAAGAAATGTATCAAGATTTTGAGGTACAATGAATGGACTGCTTATTGTTGGCTTTGCCAAATATGAAGATATATCGGAATTATGCAACCATTTTCGATTTGATCAAACGTAATGGAGCAAATAATCCAAATGAGGGAAAATTTCAAAACTAGTCCCACATGTATAAGGGGTGACAATTTTGGTCCCGACGGAATGCAGAATGAATAGTCCCACAGTCACCTCCCTATACTTGTGGAACTAGTTTTGAATTTTTCCCTATCTACGTCGGTTGCCAGCGTGTAAAAAAATAAGTCACGTGTGCGCCACGTGGCGTTCCGGGCCGGAAATAATAAATCCGGTGAAAAAGTCTTACTTTTGATCATTTTTTAAAAGCTGTGAGACTATTCATATTTTCTGCATTCCGTCGGGACCAAAATTGTCACCCCCTATACCTGTGGGACTAATTTTGAATTTTTCCCATCCAATGAAGAAACCTATTTTATCAAAATATTGTTACATTATGGTCCCACCCAGTTTGATCAGCAGTTGTGTTTTACATTACAAAGTTAACCAGCTCATTCCAGTTGAAGTAAACTAGGACACCGCACTGTAAAAGATTAAATACTATCTTCTTACATAACTGATAACAAATTTAACTTATAAATATTGTAAATTCTACAAGTGAAAAAACACATTAAGTGGTCCAATATAGTCCAACACAAGGAAATTGAAAAGAGTGAGATTTCGTGCTAGTAACTAAGCCACGATGCTTGAGATGAAGCCAAGCATGATCTTTAGGATCTTTAATTTAGTTATTTATTCTTTTTATCTATTGTTAGTATTTTAGCCCTAGGTTTGTTAGTAAAGTTATTAATAGATTACATATAAATTGTCATTTTGAAATAGCAACTTTAGTTTCTAATAGAATAGCACTTTACATAATTTACTTTACTGACCTTGTAACCATAAGTATATAGACTCTTGGACTCATTTGTTAGACACTGTTCATTTTTCTTCCCAATAATACGATTGCACTTTCTCTTTCTCTCTAATGACCAGACTTAATATGGTATCAGTTTCCGCAAATCGATCCTTATTTCCACTGTGATTTCTTGCTTTTATCACTAAATCTGTGTTTTTTCTTTCTGATTCTTGAGAAGAAATCTCTGTTTCTCAAATTTTTCTCGTCAATTTGAACCCTAATTGCTTGAATCTCAAATCTCGCAACAATCCAGGTGCTCTCATTGTAGCTGAACCATTTCATGGTGACAACTATGTATCCTGGTCGCGTGCGGTGGTCATGGCCTTAAGTGTCAAAAACAAATTAGGTTTTGTTAACGGTACCATTTCTATTCCCATCGTTGCTAATACTGTGGATTATTTGGCATGGACTTGTGCAAATAATCTTGTTCTATCTTGGCTGCTGAAACCGATTTCAAAATATGTACGACAATCGCTTTAATTTTTATCTTCAGCCTAAGATGTTTGGGATGAACTAAAGGCCCAATATGCATTAAGCAGTAGTCTGCGTGTTTTTCAAATCAAAAAATCTTTAAGTACGATGGATCAAGACTCAATAAAAATTACTCACTATTATAACTCCTTTAATTCCCACTGGGATGAATTTCTAACATTTCGACCAATAATTTATTGTACTTGTGGTGCTTTCTCTTCATGTACCTGTAATATTTTCGACTCTATGGCTGCTTCTCAACAAACTGACTTTGTGATCAAGTTTCTTATTGGTCTACATGAATCCTACTCATCCCTTCGCAACCATTTCTTATGTCCACTCCTTTACCGTCTTAATCTAAAGTCTACTCTCTTTTACTTCAAGAAGAAAGCCAAAGATCCTTACACTCTATCCACAAACCCATAGATTCTCTAACTATGTTGGCCAAAACCAGCTATCCTCCCAAACAATATGTTAGGGTATATTGTAAAAGCTCGGCTTTCAGTTTTGGACAATGCCATTTTGAATGAGAATTATGTTTTAGTCAAGTATGTGTGTTTGCAGTTTATTTATTTATGCGAACATAAGTTCCTTTATTTTATATTGCAGACAATATGGTTCGATGTGTCAAACAGAAAGATCATATTATCAGTTCCTTGTAAAATATAAATAATTAATTCATAGTCTAGACAAAATTGAACAATCTGTTGGTAAAAGCTGTAATATGACTTTGATTCAGTTGATATTTGACTGATGGATTACACTAGTATTTCGTAAGAATTGAATGAATCAAGGAAAAGAAGATTATTTAAATACTGACCAAGTAATAATCTAAACCTCAGTAATTGATGTGTTCGAAGATAATAAACCGGCATATGTACTCGTCACTTACTTATTTGATTTACCAAGGGTGATTCCTATTTTAGTTAAGATGACATACTCAGTATTTTGATTAATAATGATGTTTATATGATGTGCTGTTAAAATTTTTGGCGGTCACTATGTCCTGGTCCGCAGGGTTGATGACGTTCCCGAAATGAGCTCAAGAAGAATTTATTACGTGAAGCCCTGCAGGCAAATTAATTTCCAACATAATAATTAAGAACTTAGTGGTACTAATTTTGGATCCAAGAGATAAAAGAGATTGATTAATTATATTGTCAGTAATTAAATTAATCAATGGACATTATATCGTCAACATAGAGAGATAAATCGATCAATTAAATTAATTAAGTTAATTAATATGAAGGGGGCAAATTTATTTGTAAATTGGAGATAAATGGGGAGATCAATAATTTTACTTAAGTGGAATGTTTTATTATTTATTCAAATAGAAGAAGAATTAAATTATCTTCTAGAATTTTCCTAAGTAAGAGGATCTAATACCTTCTAGAATTTACCAAGGGTTAGGATGACATGGAGTTTTCTAGAAGGGTAATTAAGTTGGAAGGGATTAGGTTTTCTAGAATGGAAAAGAGTTGTAAGATATAAGGTTTCCTAACCCTATTTGGAGAAGCTCATATTTAGCACTTCCTTAAGGTCCCTAATGTAACCTATAAACACACCAAGTTCCAACACCTCCTAAATACATGTGTGTCATCTGGTTTTGTCTTGTAAAAGAGGGAAAAAATCGTGTGAAATTTTTTAGAGAGTTCGGTAGTTTCGTTTAGTCACACCACTAAGACTATTCGAAGAAGGTATATAAGGTCCTACGTTATAAGATCATAAGGTATAATATTTTCGAGATCCCGACCAATATAATATCACCAGAAAAATATTCCCGACCACCACCAAATTCACCAGAAACCACCTCGCAACCACCTGGCAATACCAGGTTCCGGCCACGATGCCCGTAACCCATGCAACCCAGTGACGCCGTGACATACTTGCTCCCAGCCAACCCGAGACGTCCTGTGCCCAGCGACACCACGCGCGACCAGACGAGGCCTAAGAATCCCGCACGCTGTGACGCTCCAGCAACCAGACAACCCTCGACGACCTCGAACAGTGTCAGACGCGCACGCCAGCCCGCAGTGCCCGATGCGCACTCTAGCATGCATTGACCCGATGCGCACGAGCTCCCTGCAGTCTTGACGCATGCGTCCCGCAGGCAGCGCCCGACGCGCAGACTCGCACGCCAACGACCCAATGCGATGCGTTCACACCCGGACAGTGCCCAATACGCATCGATTCTAAGTGACCCGATCACGACCCGACCACATCCCGGTGACCCTTGATCAACCGAGAAAACCTAGTCCGACTGCCCAACAGACTCTGCGGTTCAGATGATCTTCTGTAGAGAAAATCTACAATGTCTCAGAGTCAGTAAAAATTTTAAACTGCAAGTCCTAATCCTAACTATTGATTTCGCTTCGTTAGAATTTAATTCCGCAGCATATCGATGACGTTCCTCATAGAACCCAACACAACAACCCTCGGTCTCCAATACTGGCCTACCTAAAGACAAACAATGCCCCAAATGCTCTCATTGTGGTTACATAGGACACTCTCGTGACCTTTGCTATTAGTTAATTGGGTACCCTGCACATGGACTGGTCCTCGTGGCCCAAGAACTAACAACAAACACTCTGCACATTTTGTTAATGCTCATCATGTCATACTGGAGTCTAATGCTACTGCTGTTAATGAAAATTCCATGACCGATCCTCTCTTTGCTATGTTTTTAGCCTTTAAAATTTCTTATGAGCACAAGCAGGGCAACAACATCACGACTGAACACCAAACAATGTTGCCAATGTGTGATCTGCTATATCAGGTACATCCTTAACTGTGTCTATGTTGTTTAGCTCATTATGGATTTAATAATCAAACATGGATATTGGACACTGGTGCAACAAACCACATGATATGTGACTTATCTATTTTTAGAAATGCTAGAGTTACTAATGTGCACATAAATTTACCTAATGGTCAAACCACCACAGCATGCCACATAGGTCAAGTACAGTTATCTCCAGATCTTGTTCTGAACAATGCATTGTATGTCCCACATTTTTAGTTTAACCTCATATCTGTCTCTAAACTCACGGCATCAAATAATTGTCAAGTGAAATTTCTATCTACAATATGCATCATGCAGGATCTCAAAACCCAAAATATGACTGGTTTTGCTGAAGCCAAAGCTGGCTAATATTATTTCACTCCTGACATTGCTCATATTGTATCTGCTTCACATGCTTCTTCTTCGTCTACTCTCTACATACCATAAATTTTCATGTACATCCACCTAGGACATGTTCCATAACATCCTCTACTATTTCTGATGTAATTGTTTCTAATGTTTCCATTACATCTAATGTATGGCATTCAAGAGTTAGACATCTCTCTTTTCATAAACTAGAACAGTTACCACTGCTTCTTAAAAACTGCATATACACACTCTCACCTTATGATATATTTCATTTTTCAAGGCAAAAGAAACTTCCATTCACACCTAGTCTTTCTGTTGCAACTGAGATTTTTGGGTTAATCCATTGTGATGTTTGGGAACCCTTCTCAACCCCTTCTTTTGCTGGTTACAAATTTTTATTAACAATAATTGATGATTTCAGTAGGACAACATTTCTGGATTGATTGCATTCTTGCAGCTGCATACATCATTAATAGAATACCTACACCTACTTTACAAAATAAATCTCCATATGAAATTTTATATAACATTAAACCATCTTATGAACACTTAAGGATGATAGGTTGTATATGTTATTCTTCTTCCATTCAGGCCCATAGGCATAAGTTGTTGGGTTCTATGAGGAACGTCGTCGATATACACATTCGAATTTATTAAAAATAAACCCTAACTCACCGAAATCTATAGTTATGATTATGACTTACGGTTTAAAACTTTTGCCGACTCTGAAACGTTTCTGATTTCTGTTGTTGAAGATCGTTTGAACCTCAGGGTCTGTTGGGCTATCAGACTAGACCTCGCCACCACCGCGTCTCTCACATCTCACGTCTCCAGTTGCTCGTCGAGACCGTTGGATCGTCTCGAACCCCAGGTGTCTTGGTCGAACAATTGCAGGGTCACCGTGGGCTTGTCGAGGCTTTTGGACTGAGCAGGGCTGGTTTGGACCGATTTTGGGCTAGACTACACCAGGCTAGTGCACTGCATGTGGACTGGGTTGGGTCTGGTCACGTCTGAGCCGAGGCTGCACGGGTACGGGCCCTTCTGGACATGTTGTTTGTGAATTGGGCCTGCACAAGTCGCTAGAATGCTACATTGTCGAGGCGGGTCGCGGACAGGCACTACGGGTCACGAGGAATACGCGGGTTGCACGCTGAGAAGACAAAGGTCTCGCTTTGGGTGGCACAACAACATCGCGGGTCTGGGACATTTCTCGTTGGGTCGCATGCTGCCTGCTCGGACGCTGTGAAGATTGAGCGGGTCATATTGTGTCTGCACGGGTCGTTGAGGGTTGTGCACGGTTTGTAAGGGTCTGCCTGTATGGGCTATGCGGGGCCGTGCATAGCCGGTGCTTAGGCGGCCCGTGGGGCTTCGACACCGACGCGTACGGCTGCGCTGGTGGTCATGGGCACGTCGGTGGATAGTGTTGGTGTTATATATTAAATGATTGGCTTTAGATGATATTACAATTTATCTATGTTGAGTGAAAATCATGTTTGATTAAACAAGTTCTATGTTCTGTTGTTTTGCACTTAGATAGACTGATTCATTATCGGGTGAACAAAAGATCATTTTATGAGTTACTTGCGAAACAAGAATTGTAGGTTCACAACCTATATGGAAATGAACAAACCATCAGAACGGTTGTAGTGTCAGCTGTATGGTTGGTCTTGACTGATTAGTTGCACTAGTACATTTATGTATTGAAAAGGATCCCAGAGAGTAACAGTTTGTTTTATATTGATCGTCGTAAACAAACTTTAGTCTCGGTTAATTACTGTGTTCTCTTAACCAGTTAGATATAAACAAGCATGTATATATGGTGACAATTACTTTGATTCACTTAAATGAGATTCAATTTACTAAGTCAACATACTTGCTGTTTTGGGTGATATTATTATATGTACGATGTGCTGTTAGAATATTTATGGTCACCACGTGCGATAGTTTGATAATGTCCCCGAAGTGAGTTCATGAAGGTTATTATGCTAAACCCTGCAGGTGGATTAAGTTCCGGCATAATAATAATGTGACAAACGACGCTAGCTTTGGTATTATAATATATTAATTAATTCTTGATTGTCAGTAATTAAATTAATTAATGGACATTATATTTAAACGTAGGGAGGTAAATCGAGTAATTATAATTGGAGTCTCGAATGTAATTTTAAGGAGGATAAGAGAGTTCAATAATGTTTTGTTAGTGGACCGAAACATAATTTAAGTATTGGTAAGAGTGGGCTTGGCTCACAGTTAGGCCCAATGCTCTATATATACATCATTAAGCTCTATATATACATCATTAAGATCCCTAATGTAGCTCTATATATACATCATTAAGCTCATGGGATTGAGACACAAGTAAACCTAATGTGAATAACGTTGCCCCCTCCCCCTCTCTCTCTTTCTCTCTCTAGTTCCCATAGTCGAGTTTTAAATTCGTCTTATTGTTCCATCGGTACAATTCAAAGAGGTGTTTGAGATATACAATAGAAGATCCCGAGGTACCAAGACCCCGTGATCATCAACCGGCGATCAACCCCGTGACCGCCGGCCGACCACCACCGTCGACCGCCGCGAGCCGCAGCGCGCGCACGCTGATGCCACCACGAGATGCTGCAGCTGACGCGAGCCGCAGCCCGCACGCAGCCGTAATGACCCTGCGTCCCAGCGACCACCGCACACATCCGCTCGCAGACGTCCGCCACCCGCAGCCCCGCGACAGTGCATCAGCTGCTCTCGGTGACCTCGATGCGACCCGCGTGTTCTTGGCAACCCCGATGAGACCCGTGTGTTCCCGGCGCACCCTGGCTGTTTTAATGTCTTGAAACCTTCATCTTTCACTAAATTGTCTAAACCTTGTATGTGCCTCTTCAAAACTTGCTGGTTTGTTGCCTCACTTCCTGTTTCTGATTTCTCTTTTGAAGTCTGCCATACTTGAGTGGTGCTCTTCTCCAGGTTACTTATATTTGCTGGCTATCATGGTGGTGAAGAGGAACCAAAACTTCCTCTCCCCACTAGTTTTAACTCCATCCCAGCAATTAACAATTCCTCTGGCCTACCAGTTTTTCCTTTTTCTAACTGAATAGATGAAACGATCTTAGTTCTGGAAGAAAACTCTGTAATCTCTTTTGAAGAGCTAGATTCAACTAAACACAATCTCTGATCCTGTCTGGAAGCAGGTGGATTGGTCCACAGATGGCTTTCTATAACGTTGTTGGAAGAAGCTTTATTTAACTTTGCATTTCCAAAGGAACTACAAATAGGTTTCATTGAAGTTAGTTGAGAGCCCAAGGAGCCTGATTGGTTGCTATGTTAATTTAATTCTGGCCAATGTAGTCCTCCCCATGCCTTCATCCACTCTCCATACTTGCCTTGTTGATTTTCATTGATGTCCTCCAACCTTCTTGCACACCTATGTACAAATGCTCCAACTTTCCACAATAGTAACAAATATTCACTAATTTATCATACTTTTAACTAATTACTACCAATTTCTTGCCCATTCTGATTCTAACGCATCTCAACAAAGGTTCATTCAGATTTATCGTCGTGACATTCTTGATCCCTTTGAAGATCCTTCCTTTTTTAAGCTCTACCTCTGTGCATAGCCAATAAAGTGGCACATTATGAACTTGAACCTAAATATTCAACACCTCAAAACAATGGTGTATCCCATTCAAACCCTCCATCCATTTTTTATAAACTAGGTATTGATTTTAAAAAAATTCAGTTCGTACCTGACGCAACTTTCTTCAAATCTTCGCTCCTACTCGTATATGGTCAAAAAGCATGTCAAGATGAAGGATGTCAAGACTTCGGCTCTCTATTAACAAAATAAATTGGAAGTAATTTGGACCCAAGTCCCTAACCTCCAAGGATTGATGAAGTTTCCAAATTTGTCACATGAACCGTTTATTTCTAAACTAACTTGCTTTTCTGTCGCCATTTATCTTGTCAAACAAGCTTCAGTTACATTCCTCTTCACTGGATCGCATATCATCTCAGCCAATGTCAATAACTAAGTTTTCCGCATCTAATAGAGAGAAATTTTCCTCCCTAACTCTAACCCTAGAAGAGCAAAACCAGCCTCCCTTACTAGATACTCAGAGGAAAAAACTCTAACAAGCTTGAACTAAACATAACTTCACCACANCAAAAAAAAAAAAAAAAAAATAGAGAGAGAGAGATGAACACCTTTTACAAGTAGAGAATAAACAACAAGTCGTTCCGAAAAGAGAGAATCCTTTAGTCCAAGATGACCCAAAGTCATTAATCCATAACTATTTTTACCGAATATCTTATCACTAATTTAGCAGTTACATCTTTGTCATGATAAAACAAATCATAATTCGAAAGGTACCGAATCCAATATATTTATATATTCATCAACATAGTAAAATGATTATCCAGTAACAAGGATTAGTGGAGCATGAAAGCAATTATTTGATGCCCGAATAAGACACCTACTAATTGTAATCAGTACTAAGATTTTCTACCCAGCTATATTATGTGACAGGGCAACAATTTTGTGGCGTTAGATTGAAAATAGAATTTAGACTTGAGGTAATTTCACAAATTTGATTCGGTAATGAGAAGGTGTACCACTAATCATCCACTTATTTCATATAAATAAAATCTATTTTAAGTGGATTTATTAAATAAAATGAATTAATTTTGAATAAAATTAATTGAGTAGGAATTAAGTAAGAATTTGATTTTATAATATTTAAATGTAATGATTAAAGTTGATGTGATGTAAATTAATCCGGGATGAGATGGGTCGTTGGATTGATGGATTTACCATGAATATTGGGGCTTGTACCATCACGGGAGCCGAACTTTGGGGTCTCTTTCATGGACTCCGGCTTGCATGGGATTGGGGACTTCGTAAAGTAATTGCCGAGGTGGATAGCCAATGCTTGATCCAGCTGGTCTTCGGGCCCGAGAACTATGCTGGCCCACATGCAGCGCTTGTTAAGGAGATCCGACGGATGGCTCGGTGGGATTGGAGGATTCAGATACAACATGTTCATCGAGAGGCCAATTTTGCAGCTGATCATATAGCGGGCATTGCTTCATCTTTCTCGGTTGGTTTCCATAGGCTTCATACTCCCCCAGATGGGCTTCGTCACTGGCTAAGCCACGATATCATGGGAGTTTCCTACCCTCGTCGGGTCCGTAGCTAGGTCTTTGACCTCCTTCATTGNTAAATAATATTTTCAAATGTAATGATTTCAAGTTGATGTAAAAGTATGAGAGAAGTTATTGGAAATGATATGTAATTAAAAATATTTCAAAATAAATAGTGAAATAAAGTTGATGTTATATGTAAGAATGATTGGTTGATATTATATAAGCATATTGACCATAGTTGAGTCGAACTTAATTTTAGTTGATTTTGAGTTAAAAAGTAATAAAATGTTCCGAGATCAAAACCGATTATTTTTTTGTAGTCAGTCGCTCCCTTAGGGCGCGGCGCGGTTGGATATAAATAAATCCTGTTTAGATTGAATTTATGGGTTAAAGTGAGATAATTTAGAATTAAGCTGATTGAAAGGAGGATTGAGTGAAATTCTAGTTTTGTATTTGAATAATATTTAATATGTAATTATTAAAATTCATGTGATATGAAAATATGATAAAAATAATTGAAAATGATAGGTAATGAAAAATATGTGAATTAATGAATAGTAATTTAAAGTTAATGTGATGTATGATGATGATTGATTAATATTAGACATGACCACATGTCGAACAGACCCGATATCGGACTGGACCCAGCTCGGTCAAGCCCATTGACCGCGGGCCGAGAACCGGCACATGATTTTACATGGGCCGCACATGTTCAAGCATTTTCACAAACTGAACCAACGGTTCCGATTTCTAACCAGAACCGGAATCATAGTTTCAACAAGTTAAGAATTAATTTATATTTTAATTTATTATTATTATTATTTTATTTTTTTTACATTATTCAATATGCCCGATCGACCTGGAATAGGTGGGCTAGTTCTGAAACGTGAACCGCCAGTTCAGTTAACCGGCCCGTATATATAACCAGGTCGGTTTAGGTTCACATAAAATATGGACCGAAACCGAGCCCGTTGACTGCGGGCCAGTTCAGGTTCAAAGATTTTCACAAATTGAACCACTGGTTCCAGTTTCAAACCAAAATCGAAACCGACGGTTCGACGAATTTAAAACTTTTTTTTTTGAATTTTTAATTATTTTTGTTTATTTATTATTTTTTGAATATGCTTGTTCGACCCGGACTAGGCTGATCGTTCTGAACTGTGAACCGTCGATTCAGTTTATCGACCCGTATATATAACGAGACAGGTTCACATAAAATGTGAATTGGAACTGGCAATTCTGACCCGAAATTGATTTTTGGCCACCGCTAATTGATATTCTTTAATTATATTAAAAATATTGAGGAAAATTGAATTGTATGAAATTTGAGATGAATTTTAAGATAGGCAGCATAAAAAATTATGTGATCAGTTAAAACGGGATAAATTGGTAGAAAAATTTGACTTTTAGAAAAATTGGAATAAATTATTTGTGCAAAGATAAAGAAATGAAAAATATAAAAGAAAAAAAAAGGACCTAGTTCGAATAGGTTTAGCTGCTTTCTAAAGCAACTTGTGGTAGCTAGATTAATTAATTGATCGGGAATCAAATCTCTCTCTTATTTATTTATTTATTTATTTATTTTCAATTTATTCAATGGGATTAATATATTATGTAGCTTCTCTACATATAATTGACTTGTTAAAGGAATTTCTCATAGCCCCATAAACTTTATGCTCTTGCAAAATTTAATTAAGTATGGATTTCTTAATGCTTCATTAATAATTTATGGTTTAATAATGCTTTGAAATACTAAAGTCATGGAAATGCTTCATTCTACATATTAAAGTTACACTAGCAAACAACCACGTCACAAACGCAATGTTCAAATAGAAGATAGAAAAAATTATTTACCTCCCAAACTTTTTTGGTTTTTTTAATTTACATTTTCTTTTAATAAACCACCTTTCAATTTGTATCTTTTAATTTGGTAAATCTCATGGGGTTCCAACATAATCATGCGCATTTAGAGGATGATTCAGTATAAGCTAATTTGGTTTCGATTAAATTTGTTGGACAACTAAAATTAATTTAAAAAAAAAATTATTGAGTTAGGTTTAAGTAAATTTTAAAGTTGTATTAAAATAATATTTAAAATATAATTATTAAAGTTAATTTAATATAAAAATAATAAAAATATAATTGAAAGTGAGATATAGAGAAATACAATAAATATTAATCATGACCTAATGGGCGAACTTATGAAGCCTCTATTTAACTAAGTCTACAAATGATCACTTATTTACAACACTCTCACTTGAACATTATCGTATTATGTCAATGTCTCGTTAAAACCTCGCCATAAAACTTTGTGGGAAAAAGTAGTTGACAAAAAGAATACATGAAAAGTGAGAATTGTTCGGTCCATATTTATTATTCAATAAATATAACACCAAAGTTCTCCTAAGTGAGATTTCTTCCTTCCAGTGAGGTTCTGCTCTTCAAGTGTAGATTCTTGCTATTTGGTGTGTCGTTTTTCTGTGCGCTTTTCCTTTTTCCCCATTTGCTATTTTCTGTTGGTAGGGTTTTCTGTCTTTCTTGTCTTTCTTGGTCGTGTTTCTTCTTTCGAATAGGGTTCCTTTTTGCTTCGTCTAGGGTTTCTTTTTCTTTAGGTTTTTCCTCCTAGGGTTCTAGTGGGGGTGTTTTTGGTGTGGCTTTGGTGGCCTCTTTTATCCTTTTCAGAGTGGGTGCCATCGTGTTTATGATGTGAAGGTTTTGTTTTAGTTTAGGATATGGAGGACGATCTAGTAGATAAATTGAAAAAATTCAGACTGATGGAGAAAGAGGAAAAAGGGCTTGAAATTGAGGAAAAGGATATAGCCCCTGGCCTAAAAAGGTGCCGACTGAGCTTGATATGAATGGTGTTCGGGGAAAAAAAGCCAAATTTCATTGGACTCAAGGCAACATTGGGGGACATCTGGGTGACTCAAAAGCCTTTCACTATTAGGAACATCGGATAGAATCTGTTCCAATTCATCTTCCAATTAGCCGATGACAAGGATAAGATTTTACAAGGCAAGACATAGTCATTCGATGGGCAGTACATTCTGCTTAAGGAATGGAGACCTTAATCTTTTTTTTTTTTCTTCTTAAGAAGATGAGAAAATCAAGATATGGGTTCAAGTTCATAACCTACCACTTCATTGGCTCACAACAGAAATAGGCTTAAAGATTGGACGGATTATTTGCAAGGTGTTAGATGTGATGGTTCCAGAGGTGGGTGGTCCAAATGAAAGATTCTTAAAATTCAAGTGGAATTGAACATGAGGGAGGCCATACCCAAAGGAACTACCTTGAAGCTCGGTCATCAAACAAAGTGGGTTGAATTCAGGTATGAAAGCCTCCAAACCTCTTGTTTGTACTGTTGGTTAATTGGGCATATAGATAAAAATTGCCCAAATAAAAAAGAGGATCTGTCTAGAAATGTGTTTAACTTGGGCCAGATTCGAGAGTGGTTGAGAGCCAATTCTTCTTTTGTTAGTGAGGCTAGAAGTTTCAGGTCGTCTTATACTAAAGAACTAGTGCAGGAGTTTCAAAAAAGGTTTCTAGTAAAGAAGATAGCTTGCGTGGTCAAGGAATGGGGGAAGGGAATGCCTCAACTAGAGGTGAGTCCTCCCCCTTTGTACATGAGAGTGGTGCTAATTATTTAGGGGTGAGTGGTAGAGTTCTGAGGCTGGGAAGGATATTGAAAGCACTGCAGTTATTTCACCTCAAGATTTACCTCTAATAATGTCACCTGCCCTGGGCTCTGATGACCAACTTGTTGAAGTAGCAATACAACCAATGTCTATAGGTCAAAGAGTTGATCAAAAAAGGAGGAAAACTATACCTAGAAAGCCTAAAGCTGTTTTCTCAAGTGTCCCAGAGGACATGGTAGTTGAGGCTACCACTGCTCATGTTGACAACTCTGGGTCTAAAAAGATTTTAAGCAAGAGAAATTAAGTGAATGCTTGCAAATAACTTATACTCATGACATCTGTGGAGATTCCAAGAAAAAAATTGATAGCTTCTGACTTTAATGAAAAACTTGTGGTGGAGGAGACCAACCGTAAGTGGTCCCAGAGTTCAAAATGAAAGTATGTGTATGGAGTTGTAGAGGTTCAGGAGGACTCTCTACAATTTCGCAATTGCGAGAAGCCATTAGGGTTCACCTCCCTGACCTAGTTTTCCTTTCTGAAGTTAAAAGAAAAATTTGTTTTCTTTGTTTGCAAAAAACTTAAATTTGATGAGTGATGGTTGTACTGCAAACCAACTGTCACTAGGGGTGGTCTTTTGTTATGCTGGTCTAGTAAAGTCACTATAGTTAAGTATTTTCAATTTGATTTCTGCACTGGAGTTAAATTTTTTATTTTTGTGTCTGATCTTATCCAATGAGGTGTTTTCTTGAATTCCACACTGATTCTGAGGTTAGAATGGTGCAATGGAATGTTTTGGCTAGTTTGAAAGTGCAGTGTGGGAATCTTTGGTTTTTGGGAGGGGATATCAATGCAATCTTGTCTAACCAAGACAAAGCTGGTGGTAGAATTAGTAATCAGACTAGCTTTCTCCATTTTAGACAATTTGTTAGCAGCATGGCGATGAGTGAAACTAGAACTTTAGGTCATCATTTCACTTGGTCTAACTTGAGGCGAGGGCCTGATTTTGTTGAAGCCAAATTGGATAGGATTTTCTTCTCTCACATATGGCTCTCCATTTTCCCTAATGCAACAGTTAAGCACATTTCTGTAATCTTCTCTGACCACAATTTGTTGGTTTTGGAGAGTGATTGTACCCAGAACTCTAAGCCTAAAAGATTTGTGTTCGATGCAAGGTGGGTTAAGTTAGAGGGATTTAGAGAAACAATAGTGTCTGCCTGAAATCAACCTGTGAGTGGCCCTTTGTTGTGTAGTCTGCAAAACAGAATTAAAAATGTGAGACCTTGTTAACTGGAAAAAGACTAAGGTTACTACTTCTGCGATATTGATTGAGAACTGTCAACTAGCCCTTAAAAATATAGAATCTCAAGGAGGTAATAGAAACTGAGAAGAGTGGAATCAAAGGAAAGAGTAGCTTCATCAAGCCTATTTAGAAGAAGAGAGTTTTGGAAGCTTAAATCTAGAATCCAGTAGCTAAATGAAGGAGATAAGAACAATAAATATTTCAAGCTTTAGACCATCAGAGAAGACAGGCTGTCTGCCTTGACAACCTTGTTAACTATAGTTGTAGGAGATGTGCCGATGTTAAAGACATTGTTAGTGTGCTTAAGTCTTATTTTCAGAACTTGTATTGCTCTTCTTATTCTGTTGTGGATGGGTGTGACTTAAATGGGATTCCTGTCTCCATAAATGTTGATATAAATCTGAAATTAACTTGTGCTGTAACTGAAGAGGAGATTTGTGTGGCCTTAAAGGAAATGGAACCTTCTAAAGCTCATGGCATAGATGGCATGACCACTCTTTTTATTCAATCCTGTTGGCCAATTGTTAAGGATCACCTTTGTGCTGCCATAGCTAATTTCTTTGAGTCAGGTAAAATACCTAAAAGGGTTAATCACACAATTCTTACTCTTATCTTCAAGAAGAGTAATCTAGTTTTTATTTCTGATTTCAGGCCTATTGCCCTTTGTACTGTCTTATATAAAATTATTTTCAAAGTCCTTGCCAATAGGTTGAAATCTGTTTTGAGTCCTTGTATTAATGACTCACAGGCTGCCTTTGTACCTGGGAGAAATATCCTTAACAATGATGTTATGGCTAATGAGTGTATTCACTACCTCAATAGCAAAGTGACTTATGGCTGTGAAATTGGGCATGGTCAAACCTATGACCGTGTTGAATGGCAGTTTCTTATAAATGTTTGTAAGAAGATGGGTTTCTCTGATTCTTTTCTGTCTTCGATTTTTGCTTTCTTGAATTCAGTCTCTTACTCTTTTAATATTAATGGACATGTTCTTGGCTTTGTTAAACCCTTTAGGGGTATTACACAAGGAGACCTCATATCTTTCTATCTGTTTATCATTTTTTCTAAAGCACTGTCTAATTTGATCCATCTAGCTTGTGCTCCTTCTCTTTGTATTCTGGTATTAAGATTAGTAAATTCTCTCATATGATACTGTTCTTTTTTGTAATGCTGATGTGTTTCATGCTGAGCTGATTCTGCGTATTCTTGATAGTTTTTGTTCTGCTTCGAGTCAAAGTGTCAACATGAGTAAATCCTCCGTCTTTTTTTCTAGAAATACCCCTGATTGTTCCAAAGTTAGAATCTGCAAGAATTCTAAATAGTTAGGCCTTCCATTAGGCATAGGTAGATCTAAGAGAGACACTTTCAACTATGTGGTGGAATGTGTGATTAACAGGTTGTCTTGCTGGAAGAATGCTTTTCTTAGCAATGCGGGTAGAGAGGTGCTAATTAAATAAATCATGGAGGCACTCCCTACCTATGTGATGTCTTGCTATAAACTCTTGGTTAGCATTTGTAATGATATTTATAGGGATATAGCTAATTTTGGTGGGGATAAAATGAACAGGGAGGGAATAAAACCCATTGGGTTTGCTGGGATGAGTTGGCCAAGCCAAAGGCCAATGAGGGGTTGGGTTTCAGAAACTTAAAGGTGTTCAATGATGCTCTACTGGCTAAGCATCTATGGAGAATCCTTACTCAACCAAACTTAGTTATCAGTAAAGTACTTAGAGGAAATACTTTTATAGGGCTTGTTTGTTAGATGTGCAAACCTAAGAATGGGGATTCGTGGTTATGGAAAAACTGGGTGGGTGTTATGAAATTGTTGAATTTGGGGATTAGATGTCAAGAGGGGGATGGAAAATCCATATCTATTTGGGATCACCTTTGGATACCTAGGAAGAACAGCCCTATATCCACTTGCAGTATCCCTATAGATAGAGTTAATTTGTGTTGGGTGAGTGATCTAGTTGAGATAGAGAATGGAGGGTGAGACAGAGAGTTAGTTAGACAAACTTTCAGCCCTGAGGAACCTATTCTTAAAATCCTTATCTATTTCTCTTTGTTGGGGAAAATAGATAAATTTAGCTGGTTCTTTGGGAAGTTTGAAAAGTTCACTATTAAGTCTGCCTATGATGCTTTTTTTAAGAACTGGTTATTAACAAGGGACATGGCTACTTCTAGTTTTGGATCTAGTGTTGAGTGTAAGGTATGGAGGATCACATGGAACCTACCTATTAAACCCAAAATAAAACATTTTATCTGGAGGTGTTGGTTCTAGTGCATCAGTACTAAAGATGCTTTTGCTAAGAGGAAGATGTCTTACGATCCTATCTGTCCTCTCTGTGGGCTGGTTGTGGAGAATCTTGAACACATCTTGTTCAACTGATCCAGAGCTAGATTGGCTTAAACTGAGTTGAATGACCTAGAATGACTTTGATTCTTATTATCCTACCTTCAGAGACTGGTGTGGAGAAATTTGTAGTGCTCCCCATTTGGGTAACATCAAGGACAAAATCTATTTATCATCTTACGTCATATGGTGGTTTGGAGGACAAAAAATATATGGGTGTTCCAAAACAAAGGTGTTAGCGAGAGGCAGCTTGTGGAAAGAGCAAGGGCAGAATGGAATGAGTTTGCTGAAGTTCAAGATAAGACAAGAAGAGCAGATAGCTCCTTCTCTCAACCTCCTATGGTTAAAGAAGAGACATTTTTCTAGAAGGTAGGACAGTGTTTGCTCATTGTTAGTGACTTAAGCTCTTCATTGAACTATTTGGAATTGACCTGCATGGCTGAACAAGAGGGAGAAATGACACAAGAGTGGAATGCTAAGATTTGGTTTGATGGCTGTGATGAAGGCAGGTGGCTGGTGGCTATAAGGTGGGCCTTAATAGAGGCCTCCCAGAGTGTTGGAGACACTGCTACTGCAAAGTTAACAACATAAATGTAGCTCTGAAGCTCAGGAAACAACTTCTCCATTTTGATTCATGTTGTATTACTTTAGGTTAAGATGTTTTTGTTCTTATGTCTTCTTTTATCTCTTGTGATTTTGTCATTCGAGACTAGTGTTGCGTTTGTGTTTTCGGGTTTGTGTGTGTGGCTAAGAGGTTGTTTCCAAACTCCCCTGTGTTGTATGCTTTCAGTTGAAAGCCCGGTTGTACATTTGGTTTGAGCTCTTATGAAATTTTATTACCGTTGGGGAAAAAAGTGAGAATTTACGCGTTGCACTTGTTATTTCGTTAAAAACATGAGTAAATACAAAAATTGTGAAGAAACTAGATAAGGAAAAAGAGACATTGCCTGCTAACAATTCCCAATCTTCAGGATTACAAATGGCATTTCGGAATCCAAAATCTGGGATTGTTTATTGCTTCCCCTTGAAAGCAAGAGCTTTACTTCTTTTTTTTTTTTTCCAACGGCAAATTATCCATTAAACTCAAATAAGAGTACAAATCGAGCAACCAGATGATCGTTAGATACATCGGGAAGTTACAAGCCAACAATCCTTACAAGCCTTCATGGCAAAAACCAAGCTAAAACAAACTAAACCAAACTAACAAAATCAAAAGCATCAAAGGAGGACAACAAAGAGAAATGTTATAAGCAATGGAATTACAACACAGATCAAACTGCAACCTCTTGACGAGCTTCAGAACCTAGGCTTTGTTCTTCACCCTGCATGAGCATCTGGTCCAACCAGCTTGATTGGTTTTCAACATAGCCCATCTCACAGCCTCTAACCACTGACCTTCCAAACAACCTTTATACCAGATATTGTGTTCCAACACCAGATCATTATCTCCTTTCTTTTCACCTACTAAATACATCTTCAATTGATTTTGATAGAAGCTAAGAGCTGACAGTGATCACCCACTACCCTATCCTCTCATAGAAAAATTCCTCAGAATCCAACTGAAGATGAACCACTTCACAAGAAGAAATCTTCATGCAAGCAGAGACATTTCTAAACTCTAACCACTCCAACTTTGTCCCTCTGCCACCTT